TATATACGAATAAATACTTAAAGTAGATATTTAAGATTTAAGTGCTAATAGTATAGTTCGTCTCATGAAAGAAATCCCTCGGATCAAAATGTTTTCGCTTTTATTACAAAGGAATATAAATTATGCCACGAGACTTCTTTCGTGAGATAGACTTTTTATTTTTCCCAAATAAGAAAGATGAAGGGACCTTATCCCATACAGCATTTGTTTGTATAGATTACAAATAAATACTATTTCATATTTTAGAGAAGTTCTAAAGCTGCATTTGTATATGTTTTTGTTATTTATTTTTAATTCGTCCAGATAATTTCTGATTATTACAAGTAAAGAAAAAACAAATCAGAACCACTTTAATCTATACTTACTTAAAGAGGGAAGATTTGATCGTTATATCTATCGAGTAGGCACCGAAACTACTAAAGCGATTTTAAAAATTCTTTCATGTACGGAAAGCTAGCTATATATATCTTTTTACGGTGTTCTAATTGTTGATTTGTACAATTGTACATACCAAACGTACTATTTAAGAATAGATGTCTACTTAATACCTATGCAAATCATACATGGCCAATGGAATTCGAAAGCGCTCTCTACAAACTGCGCGCGCACTATGCAAACTTACGTGTTTCATAAATCACTTTTCTATGATAATAATATTCTGTAAGCGTCCCACTGCTGGGCGTAAATCTTTTATATATTAGAAAATTGGATAAATAGCTAAGCAATATGCAACTGTCGTAACCATTTTCTAATTCCAGACATGTTCAGATATGTTACATATTATGAATCAGAGAAAAAGTTACAAACAGTAGAAATAAGAAGTAAACGATATAGACATTAATTTTTAATAAAAAAATTGCGACAACTTATTTTAAATCTAGATCTAGCCATAGGATACGACATATATTTCGTTTCTTACACAACTTTGACAAGTCTTGTGATTGGTAAACGACAAAGTTGGTAACACTGTTATCAAAATCGAATTAAGTAAGTACATGTCAAAATAGTAAAATGAAACGAAATATGGTCATAATATTCTCTAATATATCGTACCTATATAAGCTAGAGTTATCCTATCCTGATACCAAAACCGGAACCGCAAGTCTGGCGATATTAAAAAAAGTCAAATTGGCTGTAAGAGAAAATTTAAAAACACTATAACAACTCCATCAAAACATTGTTTCTTTAAAAAAATTATGGTGCACCGGAACCCTGTTGCGCGGATAATCCACAAAGAAATCATAGAGCGTCTCGATTTCGAAACCATCTAAAAATTCTTATCCGTATGCACAATTGTACAGAGTAGACCCCCTGTTGTCAAATAAGATAAGAAAGCGTCTCGACTCTCCAACGATTCTCCATGAACTATTTTTAAGTATCATCGATGCTTTGGGTGGTATTAAATTCGCTACTTGTTTTTCTTTGTGAACCACAAAGTCGGGTTATTCGTCTATTAAAATCTTACGAATATCATTAAAAATATTCCTGTCAAAAAGTTTTATTTTGGTTATTGATTTCTGTTCACAACTTATCTTTTGTTTCAAACCAGAGTAATTAATATCTGCAATTAAGAGATAGATTTACACCCGAGCTTTGCTGCGTAAGTAACTGTTTATAGCGCCGTGAGTTACACTCATACATTTCACTTCGATTACGAAAAATAAATTAAAGTTGCACATTCGATTTTTAATTAAAAATCCTACATGTTTCGCCATTTTTCTTCCGACTTTATGTATGAATATAGACTTTTCGGCGTCTCGTTTTTTTTTTCTTTTCAAGTAATATATGTAGCTTAAGACAGTAATGGTAATGTATAAATATTGACTCAGACTTTTATGAACTTTAACATTATCCCTTAAAAATTTAGCGAGACGATTATTATGCTTATATAATTTTCAACTAATCTTATTGATAAAGCAGTAAAAGTTTAAAAGCATAGTAAAAAGTGGAAAATACATTAGGAACTTTCAACCTTTTTACTGGACTGTTTTAGTTTAACATCATAAAATTCCACTTCCATCATAATATTGACATCAGTCCATGTTTTATTGCCCACTCAATGGTAGAATTGTACAATAAATTTAGCGTTCTTATTTTAGCCTAGTGTTATGAATCATAATACCACTATTGTTCGAACTATCTGTCTTTGTATAGGCCAATTATATTATATTAAATTGGATTAATATTGTTACTGACACCTTAAATGAGTGTAAAATTATTTAAGACGACACTATAATCAGTAGCGAATCTAAGGATACTACTCAGGCTCCTGGAGGCGGCGCCACGGCAAAAAAGGACTTGCAAATTCAACGTGCAAAAAGTATATCGCTCGTCTCCTAGCGAAAACACCCTAGGTTACAATTATTATAATATCTGTATGTGTACATGTTAATATTGGTGGGAGATACTTACGAGACACTTGCTTAGGGCGCCATCTGTACAAATATAACAAAAGTAGGCAAAGGTTCAAATTTTGTTCGAAAATAATGATCTGTACATGAAACTTTTTTCACCTATGGGAAGCAACACCACATGCGGGTGAAGTCACGGGAACAGCTACTCCTATAATAAATAAATCGAAGAGAAGTTCAGTATTAATTTTCAATCACAATAGTGTTGTATGTTCACTGGAAAATTCCAAATTTCCACAATCGTTTTTTATAGTAAATAATTGTGAAGTATTTTACAATTTTCTATATTTAATTAATTTCTTTAGGATAAAAATGAAATCACGATAAAAATGTATCATATATACTAAATAGATATATTAAGTAGTACTAAGTAAGAGGCATAGATTTTTCCCAAGGGTTTTTCCGTGCTTCACTCCTATTACGCTTTTATTTGATTAATTCTCATGTCATGCTTTCGTATCCCCTTTTACGAGCAAATTTCTACTTCATTTTGTATATTGCGAACGTTTTATTTAATTTAGTGAAGGCAGGTAGAGTTAATAAAGTGTCTCGTTTTATGACGATCGATATAACAATACGTTTTTTGGATGATACCTTTTTAATTTTTACCTTTATAATTACGAACTTTGAGGTTTAATATGAGTATGGGGCCTGTTATTACTTTAAAATAGAAAAGATAGCCCTTATCTAGTTATCTCTAGCCTATATGTCTGACTGTCCGTCTGTCATAGCTTACTTGCTGTAAAACTACTGAACTGATGGCGTTGAAATTGGTTATGCATGTGTAAGTCGGTAACATAAAGACGCATGTATATCGAACGTAAATAAATGAACTTTAAATTGGCTATATTTAAAAGTAAAAAATCATTTGTATAAGTGTTACATATTATTCTATTACACCAATCTCAAATATACAATAATTTAGCTTGCTTCTTATTCCTGATTATTCCTGTGCTAAATTTTTTTTTAAATTCAGAAAATACCTAAAGATTAAATAAACTTAAGTAGTCTATGGTTTGTCAAATTTAATTTTTGGGTGCAAGAGTCCGAAGCGTGTCTATAACATATTAATTATATTAGATACTTTTATAAGTATATTTTTTTCATTTATCGATCAACATGGTAGACGTGCTTCAGTTGAGGTTGCGAAAGCTTTGCTTAGAGGTTAGACTCGATTAACTCGGTCATGGCTAAGCGTTATATTTGATTTTGCGTTGACTACTTGAGCGGCATTCAATACAGACCATTTGAAATTGATTTATATAATATCGTGGTGCTATAATTTACCATAAACATTGGTAAAAAATATATGCATGTATTGTTACTGAATATTACAAAATCTAGATAAATACTCAATCTCTTAGTGTTGCAATAAAGATTTTCTATCAGCTCACGTAGGATTTATATTATCAAATTCGTATTCTTTTCGTGTATGTGTATGGGAATTTAAAAACTCTTTATTATATTTCTATTATAAATAATAAAAAATTGTAGAATAAATTGGAAGCGTAATAACTATTGTTATTCCCTTGTAAATTACAACTTTTATTCAGATTAATAAAAAGGTTAGCACAGTAAATTACCTTGGAAAATGACATCATAGTTACCAAGTGCATGAAGATTAAAGTGTCATGGCTCATGTGTTATTAATGCTCAATTAATGTGTGTGTGAACGAAGTTTTTATTGTGTTTTGCGTAGATTCTTATGAGTATTTTTCTTTTGAAAAGTAATTGGCTGACACCGTCAGAATATTTGAAAAACTGATAATAGAATTTATGTAGAATTTCAGACATCTGTTAATGACTTCGCTGAAGGTTATATAGATGAATCTATTTTAACTATACGTAAAATCATGACCACATCAGTATAGAATTTTTATTTCCCATGGCGGTTTTTATGGCATGACGCTTATTTTGTAAGGTTCTATTGTTAAAAGGGACGTCTTTTTGTAATCTTATCTGGAAGTCGTTAAGCTACTATTAAATCACTCATTGTCTGAAATCGCATAAGAAGGTCACTATGCGATATCGGACTTGGGGTTTTCTGGAATTGTTTTATATTCTAGGCTCAGTTTTGTTATTGTGTTATTTCGGGAATGTCGATAGCATAGCAATTATAATGCGCATGCTTTGATAAAACTACAGTTACGCCCACCGGTGTTGTGCGGATATGGCGGCACAATGCCGGCGACAATGTGCAGATGTGCGCACTTTCACCTCCTGCTAATGGTTGCGTGTGAACGTGTCGAAACGACCCCTGGGAATAGGGGCACGGCCGGCCCGGGGGGCTCGTTACGTATTAGCTGTTATAATGGGTCTATGAGTATGTAACTTGTGTCTACATTTAGCGGTTTTGGAACGTCGATTAATATTTGTAGTTTAAGTCAAACGTTTAGCGGTCCGACGTGTTTCTATTTACGCTTTCACCGGTCTGTCGTCTTACATTAAAATTTTGCAGATATTATCAAGGTGTCACACGCTATTCGAACTCGCGTCGAGCGGGGTCGACGGCCGGCATCGATCGCGCTGTTTGTAAACATTGTCGACCCGGAATGGAGGCCGGCGATACGTAATTATGTAAAGACTCACCTGTACGGTTTGGGCGCTGTCCTTGTCGAGGAGGAATTCCATGGACTTGTGAGGTCTCGGCGTGCGCTGGTCGGGCGGCGCGAGCGCGAGCAGCGACCGTGCATGGAGCACCGTGCGCTGGGTGTCCACATCCGTCTCCAGCACGCCTGGCGCCGGAGCGGGCGGCGGGCGCGGCCGCGGCGGCTTGTGCGCCACGCCGCCCGCCGCCGGGGGAGCCGCCGCACGCGACACACCCTCCTCTTTCAGTGGGATTCGCACATACTGCGGCCCGCCGGCCGGCCCGCGCGGTACCTGCCCCGCGTCTGCCGCTGCCGAACCGTTCGACGACGGGCGGGCGTTCGCGCCTGCGCTCCGTGACTTTTTCTCTTTGCGACCCGAAAATCGGAAGTTCGCGAACCGCGACAGGAAACCCGCTATGCGGCTGCGCGGCGCGCGCGCGCCCGCATCCGTCATGACGGCGATGCGATCTGCGGCCGGCGCGTGCGCCTCCTCGCGTCCCCCCTCCACCACCTCCACCTCTGCGTCGGCCGCGTCGTCGCTCGCGGTCGTTTCGCTCTCGGTGGTACTCGTACTCGTCTCTCTCCAGCTGACCTCCGCTACCACCGGCGAGAACGTAACACCCTTCGAGCCGGCGGATACCGAACGGACGGGTGGCGTAGCGCCGGGGGGTGGCGGCGCTACGAGTTGGAGCGACGCGCGTAGCTCTTCCGGTGTTTCACGGTGTGGCGTAGCTTTCGCGCGCAATTCGGGGGTCGATCTCACTCGTGCATCGCCCGCTCTCAGCGGCGTCGAGGTGAAAGTGGGTTCCCTTAACGGATCGGGTGACGGCGTTCGGGGTGGAGACGGGGTCGCCGATTGAGGATCCATTCGCCGTCGTAATTCGTCTAAGACGTCGTCCCATATTCCCCAGGAGTCTCGCAGACGTCTCGCTGTTAATACTGATAGTTCGCGGTCAAAATTGCCGCTCTCGGCGAGGGCGCGCCGCGCTGACTCGTCGAGCTGGCGGGCGGTGGTTTCCATTTCGTTGGCGAACGCCTGCTCCGACTCGGTGGTCGAGTCGCTGCCGGCGCTCGGCTCGCGGGCCGGCGAAGCGGAGGGTTGGCGTGTGACGACATCGGGAGGTGGCGGGGGCGGATGACGGGGAGCGCGCGGCGGGGGCGGAGGTGGCGGCAAGCGCGGGCGCCGCGGTCCCCCGCGGTAGTCGAGAGCGGTCAGGTCAGCCACACTGACGGTGAGGCTGTCGCTGACTTCGAAGGTTTGTCGGAAGTGCGCGCGATGAGAAACGTGACGGCGCGGCTCGGCACATACGTCAAGCTCGGCGGGCAAGGAGAGAGCGCGCGTGGCGCGAGGCGGGCGGCGCTCCACACTGACGGCGGTCGCGAGGCATGGCACACTGCCGGCGGCGGGCGGCGGGTGCGCTATTTCGGGCGGGCGGCGTTGCGGCGGGGGCGGCCGCCGTGAACGTTCACTGTAACCGCTGTCTTCGCTTAGGTTTTCGGCAGAGAGATGGGTGCGTGGTGCAGGTGCCCTCGCTGGCGGTGGAGACGCAGGAGGTGACTCGAGGGAGTCAGGCGATAGACTTGGCGACGTGGGTGCTGCGCAAGATCGCTCGAGGGATTCGAACTGCGCGAGACTAGAGGAACGCGAGAGGGACCCGGAGCTGGTGGGTGATGTGGTCCTTTCTCGTCGTCTTCTTTTCGCAGGGCATGCCCATTCTCGTTCTGACTCACTGTCTTCCGAACCTGTTGAAAAACATTTTTTTTTCAGGGACCCGATTTAGAAATGTACTTATCGTCACAATGTGAGACGTGGGTATCGACATTGATACTAAATTGTGATGCGAAATGTAAATTTGGACGGCTTCCAACAATATACACTAAACTATGCCAAAAAATTAAGAGCTTTCTTATTCCTTAAAAATAAATACTGTTTTATGCTAATATTGAACTGATGAAAACTTTAACATTTACAGCGTCCTCTATCGAGTCTAAGCCAAATATGGAATTAAAACTAAAAGTATGCTTTAAAAGTTTTTCTACTCGCCGCTAGATGGCGCTAACGTTGTAAAAGTAAGCCAACACTTGGTAATAACTTTTGTAAAATAATAATAATAATAATACACTTTATTGCACTAAATATGATACAATGTTAACAAGAGCTTATTATTAAAAAATATATATAATTTTATGGGAAGTGTTATAGAATTTTAATTTTGATTAAATGTTGTAATTTTTACCGGCAACTCCGCGTACGTGTATAACGGAGTCTGCATCAGAGTCAGAGAGCCACGTAGCAGCAGAAGAGCGTTCGGATCGCAGATCATCGCTAGTCTCTTCGACTATCGTTTCGAGGTAAAGGGCGTGTGTGCTGCCAGTATCACCTGTTAACAAAAAAAAAAAACATTTAGTAGGTAGATCAAAAATATATAAAAAAAAAACAAATTTTGTCACCATCTTAAAACTTCCTATAATTTACCCCTATGTTATTAGGGCTAATAAACATATATAAATAAATGACCTTGTTTTATTAATTTGATCTAGCATAGTATGCGTAAAAAGATCATTATTTGTTAACAGTTTGGAAGAGTATGTAATAAGTATTTTCCTTACCGTTTGTAAAAAAAAAAGAGTAATACTTTTCTATTCGTTAAGTCACATCCTATTTTAAATGGGTCTTGTGTTTTTCGTATATAACTTAGAGTAATTAGACGAAGTGGTTCTTCTTTGCCGTCAGCGCTCCTAGCGGGCAGTGGCGATAATATTTTATTTGTAAGTAGAATCGTCAATAAACCAAATGTTACAAATATTGTGACAAAGTAAAATAAAAGACGAAATGTTAATATTTTCCGTATAATAATAAATTATAAAAACTTTAACCCTACCCTTTTTTTTTAATAATAATAATATCTTTATCTTCTATAACTTCTAGTTACATAAATATTTGATATCCTAACTTCTAAGCTAGTTTTGCGTATTTAGTAGAGTTTTGTAGAGTTCAATGAACTAATAATATTTGTACGTACACTTTGCTTTAATAAAATCTATATTAAACTAATCGCCATTTTATTTCTTTTTTGCTAGTGTCTATTCGTGTCATTTTTATTATTAAATAGGTACTAATTACAAAAGTGCATAATTTTATTACATGGATTACTTTGGCTCCATTTATAAAACCGTTTTCTAACCTCAGAAACGGTGGGCAATATATTTTATCATATCCAGCAACTATTAAAAAATAATTTAAAATAGGTTAATTACCTGCCATTATAATAATAAAAAAAAAAAAACAAAAAGAAATATGTTAATACGCACAAAAAAGGTATTAAAAATAATGTTTACATTAGCTTGCGTAGATCATAGCTTGTTTATCTACTACAATGGAACTTTCTCCGTCCGCACTTACGATGGATGTAACGTAATACATTAGTCATGCAGTAAAATTATACCGAGCTACTGATATTGTACGATGATACGTGAAACTACTCTTTATGATGAGAGCCATAAAAGATAATTTACTCTAAAACAAAAAGTGTTTCATAACTTTGAATAAACATTAACTAGAGGGAAACTTCAATCGATGATGTGCGAGACTTTTTTAAATCAGAATCAAGAAGATGTATGCGGCACACTAAGCCAGTCAATAATAGTAATGCCCAACAAATTTTTTGCTGAGATACTTATTACGAATGAATGAATTAGAGCTTTTAGAGTACCCCACCACAATAATAATCACTTATTTATCCAAAACACGTTATAAAGTTGTTACAGAATATTAATAAAGTATTACTGAATGTCATAATTGCAAGTAATGTCAAGGTTTATATTTATTTAAAAAAGAATTTATGTCATAAAACGTATTGCCACTTATATAATTTATTCTTAAACATTAAATATTTAAATTTATCATATCCTAAGGAATATTGTTATTAATCTTATATGAGACACAAACAATTATTCCTATATTCTTCCACTTAGTCCCTGGTACCCTGTGGTGGGATCAGGGTGCCAGGGACCAAGTGGAATTTTTAAGCATTTTTCATCAACATTATTTTTCAGTACGGCATTGTGAATGTGATATTGGTCAAATATAAAAACTATTCCTATATTGTTGGACCTAGGAATGTCACTAAATATCATTCTGTGAAAGTTTCTGAATCTATTATATTTGACTTTTAAACAATCCTTTGTTGTGTTGGACCAAAACAGCCACTTCATAAATAAAGAGAGAAGGTAGCGGCAATAATCCATGACTTTTATATAATGATCTACACGATGTAGATGATCGAAGTAGAAGATCGAAAAGAAATGCATCAAGGCTATACGTTGATGCATTTCTTTTGTGCAAAAAGATCCTAATTTTTGCAGTGCTATTTGCCCCAGAATATAAACCCGTAGAGAAGAAAAGATTTTATATCAGCGTGATATAACAATATAGCTGTGTTTTTGTTGGCTACGTTCTTTACACGTTTGAGGGCATAAACGAACCTATTTACTCGAGTGCACAAATCATTAACATGAGTTTTCCAATTGAGGTTTTCGTCTACAGTTATACCTTACAGCCTTACACCCTACAGTTAAACCTTAAATGGTCTACTTCTCTTATTTTCATTACCTTTAAAGTATGATTTATTCAGATTAATTTCTTATAGATCAGAAAGAAAATACTTCCTATAAATGACGGCATGAGCGCTATAAGCAGTTTTTTCCAGGTAACCGTAGATTGGACACAGACTAAGAATGTGGGTTGGACTAGATTGATTAAGACGCAATATGGAAGTTACCCAAAGAGTAGTATCCATATTAGGTATCCAATTGTAGGAGGTTCTTATATAATACACCGGCGTTTTTCAAAGTGTGCTCTACGAAGTCTGTAGAGCTCTGGAAAGCATTTGTTGGCTGTCCATGAAAACATTAGTCAAACTTAGGCAAACTATCGAAGTTGCAATGCGAAACTACTGTTCCTAGAAACTAGAATGGTTCTTTATAAATTCAACCCCTAAGGAAGTGAAATAGGAGGGTGAAGTTTTTAAGCGGCACGCGGGTGACGCCTGGCGGAAAGCTAGTACAATAATTCATATTCATAAACAGTAACCATAAAAGAAGGTTTCCTTTTAACTAAGTTTTTCTTGAACCTTCGATTTAACAAATAATTTACATTGGAAAAACCGAAGTTGAACCTAATAATAATGAGTTCCGGATTTTAAGCCCTAGTTAGCACGACAACGATTTGATTAATTTGGCGGCGTTGTCCTTTTGTACAGTTTACCAATCTGTTTCAATCGCTTGCAACAGTTAAACAATTTCCTACAATTTTCGTAAAAATCATAATTTATCGGAAATTGGGTTCCTTTGAAGTTATATTAGCGTTTCGAAAACAAACAAAATTTCGGTGTTAGAGAAACAGAGTAGGCCTACAGATAATATAGGATATTTAAAGATTTTAAACAGGAAATTAATTCATTCGCAAACTGCATCAGTTAAATTTAATGTTTCCTCATTATAAAACATAAATTAGCTATGGTCTAGAGAAGGGTCGACAACCTGCAGCTCTTTTTATGTAAAGTTGCGTCTCTCAAATTACAAAAATATATTTTGCTGACGAAACCCTGTAAAATAAAATATGATTGACAGAGATATAGATTCGTTAATTTTATATAAAATCTCAAATATAATATAATTATTAGTGACACAAAACTTTTAGTGGCTTTTTAAAAACTGTAAATTTGTAAAATGTACTACGTCCTCTTAACCAGACTTAAAAAGGTTGACGACCCCTGGTCTAGAGTCCGGAAATTGTAATTTTATTATCTAATCTTTGTTAATTAAGTCTATTGAGCACAGTTCTAAGAGTGGCATAATTATGTACATGTTATAATTAATAGCCATCGTGTTACTTAACCGTTTGGATATTGTTATTTTTTATATAAATTTTTGTTAATATATCTCTGCTAAATCTCATCGAATTGCTCTATATTTATCTTTATGCTTTATTGCAGTACCTAAATGCTTCATCACAAAAAAACTTTCATTATTTTTTGAATATCTATCTAATGAAACAACAGCTTTAGAACGGTTTTAACACGAATAATTTGACCATGATGCTTGTTGAATTTGAATCATATATTCTGAATGTTTGAAAATGTAGAAACCACGGAAGAAAAGAAAACTCGAAAACTTAGACCAGTATTTTTGCGAACGACTATTGAGTGGGTCCTAATAAGCACAATGAAACCATTTCTGAGGAATACTATTTAAGCCCAACTAAACTTGCAGACCGACCAGCTAACTCTTTCGCTATACCTTACTCTAGCCATAGCCATAAAAAAGGTTTATTGATTTTTCATCAATTTATTGTCTTTTTATTTTTCTTTAATCTTTTTATTGTTTTTTGTTCGGTTATTTCGGTTGTTGTAGTTTTCTGAATTGTAGTAGATTTGACTATATTAACTAATAAAATCGTTTTGAAAACTAAAATAAGTTTTTTGTACATTTTTATGTATTGATTTCTGTTTGTTTATGTAATTTTAATATGGTTTGTGCAATAAAGAGTATTTATTATTATTATAAACTAAAATGTTTTATTAAATAAGATATACGACATCTTATGTAATCAAACATTTTAGTTTATTTTTGGAGTTTAGGCTAAGAGATAAATGGTTAGTTGCACTCATATCTGTATTTACTTATAATGTTCAAGCATTTTAAGGTTGGAGTAAAATTAGTTTTCCAATTAAGTCAAAGAGGTGACAGTACCTAATGAAAAGGTTAAAAACCACTGGCCTCGCATTTTTTTTTGCTATTTTCTTATGTGTTAAGATTTTGTATGCGTGCTCAATAAATTTCTTTCTTCACTGCAATAAACACCATCATATTAGACTAATAGCTCCATCTATTGACGATGAATAACACGGCGTTCCACCTAAAAATTGTGTACAAACAGTGCAATTATTCACCTCGGTCATTGACATCTTAATCAAACATTCATCACATCAATTATGTTTTGAGTTTATTTCATAATGGATATTGACGTTTTAATTTTGAGTGTGAAGAGTGATTTGTTAAAAGTTTCATCATACAATTGATGGTATATAATATGATTGACACAGTGTAATAAAAAACAGTTATTGGATTGATTTATGTTAGATAATCAAGAATTACTACGATCTGTGTCACTAGGCTAGTCTTTTGTGTTTCACGAATGCTTTAACGAATAAATAAATCTATGAGCAATGTGATAATAATGATACAAGACTCGAAAGATACAAGAAGTGTTGTATTACTTATACAATCACGTGGCATTATGATAAAAAACTATATTGATGACTTCCGGTTGATTGTCACTGTTCTCTTTGTTCATATCTTCCATAGAAAACTTTTTTAT